ATAGATAGATAGATAGATAACAATTAGATACATCCCACCATTTGTCCTCCCATATCTGCACAAATCTACATCTCCTTGCTTCTTCAATCTCCAATTCCAAAACTCCCAAGGTTTAAAAAACAAATCAGAAAAGTGCTCCTGCTCACCTGTGTAGGTGACCGTGGCCGACCTCCAAGTGTTCAGCAGCTCCTGTATGAGCAGTTTCAGCAGCCTTCCCTCTGACACTCAAAGCAAAGCGTCACACCAGCCCTTTGCCAGCAAGACCTCTCGCCACTCTCTGTACCAAGCCCCAACGGTGGGGAATAAACTGCCCTCCCCGCCACCACCATCATCACCATCATCACCCCTCCCCTATGAAAATCATTCCTTCAGTGTAGCAGCATTGTTCTGAGACTTCGCCCCGATGCTCAGCCATTCATAAATACACACAGGGCCACAAAGGGCCACACTGTTCCCCCTCATCCCAATAAATATGGGTGAGGCTTTGAGCTCCAAATTCTATACAACACGGCCAATTACGCTGGACGGAACTGAGCACATTTGATCATTTTGGATTGATGGCAAACACATCCACATTTTTTTTTGTTTGTGATGACAGTGTAACAAAAGGCAGGAAGTGAGCGTGAGAGGGGTACTGTAGATATAGACCAATATGAGGGAAGGTAGTGAGGAGGCCTATATGCCTATGTATGTATTTTAGTCAAACCTGTCACCGTTTTGAGCCTAAAAACCCAAGTCAACGCTTCAGAGGATAGTCAAACTAAAGAATCAGAACCCTAGTGACCACAAATTTGCTTTTCAGAGAGTTGTGGTAAATATTTTTGGTGTGTTTTCCCACCTTCCAGGCAGCCACAGGTTTCCATTAATTAAATTAATTAAAAGTGTGTTGCCAATTAAAAGTGTGTTGACAATAACATGGCAATAATTCAAACAAAAAGTTTGATAAAAGATTTTCTTTGCAATGTAATGAGTGTTAAAGGCAGGAATAGATAGTAAAGTAAGCTACATGATAATGATATTGATAATGTAGTAAATGGGCTAAAACATGCCTAAACTTTAATATGGTTCTTTACATAAAGTCCTCATTGCAGCGCTAAAAGTTATATAACACACTGAAAAACATCACCATCTTCTGCAGGACGGGACAGATGTTACATGTCAGCTGACAACTCAGGTTGCAGAGTTGATTGTATGAAGATTAAATACACTATGCATTGACAATATGACTGTATATACACTGAATTTGAGTTGAATTACATTGATTTTAGATCATGTCAGATGTCCATGTTTTGGCACATCTGTATTGTCAGTTATATTAGAAGTTTCAGAAAAATTTAAGTAATTGCAATTTAAGACGTTGACATGAATGGAATGGGTTTTTGGGCAAATTTACAATAACTCTGATGTGACATGAAGGCGGCATTAGTACTAATGCAACTGTATCACAATGTCATTATTGAATACCCATGTTGGTATTAAGCAAATAAAGATGTCTGGTCATAGAACGCTGCGATTTCTGATAATGCAGACATCTGTGTTGCTTGATGGTCCGGTGATACTTTGCACTAATATTACTGAGGCTGGCACACAAGAGTTGTATATGATGAACATCTCCACTGCCTCTCTGGTCGAGGACATTACAGACTCCTCCTTGATGTCCTTGAACTACACAGTGAACTGAGGTCACTCTGAAGCTGCAGTTAAACATGTTGATTTTGTTTCTTTTTCTACAGTGAATGGTTCCACTTTGCAACTTTTCAGCCCTCCTGATGTTCAACAACTGACAGTAATCTAAAGGTAATCAGGGTAACTTGATTCAAGCACAAGCCTCTTAAAGGGCTATTGTTGTTTTAAGGCAATTGTACATCACATCAGGAAATACGCCTGTATCAGCCTGCCATCTCATCCCTCCTACTACTATCAATAATAAAAACGCATTATTAAGCCTAAATGTGGCATTAAGAGTGTTCACACAGTTGCACGGTGCTGTGACCGTGTCATGAAACCCCAAGACTTGTTAACGCACCCCCTCCCCCCCCCGTCCTCCTCCTCCTGACACAGTAGCCATTGTCTCCCGAGGCCT